CCTAGAGGAAGGGTGTCATTTTTGCTTTCCCCTGGGCAAGCAGAACGGCCTGCCCAGCTGGAAAACACAGGCTAGACATGAAGCAACGCAGTCCTCCATCACAGCCTGATTTACTTTTTGGCTCATGCTCAGTCTGAGCACTGGAATATTCTAAAATACCAATTACTGAGATGAACTTTTGAGACCCTGGAACATAGATGAAGTTCACTGAGTTCTCTGTATCTCCGAAGTTAAGCCTGTTCTTAGGTTTCAGGCTGACCCTGGCTGCCAGATACAGTTAGTCTGTAAATTGGCAAGAATTCCTGTTCCTCCCTTCTTCTGTTACCTGATCCATGGGAATTCCTAACTCTGCTTTGAGTCGTCTCTGTGCTGCTCTCCGAACGCCAATGGCATTATTTTCTTCCAGTTCCAATGGATGGCTTAGAGGATGACTGCAACAAGTGTTGGTAAAGCAATCTGCAAGAAGTTTCGATCAGTACATTTTTGACACACAAAGTATTGGGGAAAAAAAGAAACAAACAACAAAACCACCAAAACCCCAAACCAAACACAAAACCAAAAACCAAACAAAACACAAAACCCCCCCCCCCCCCAGACGTAGAGCAGTTATTCAATGCATCACAACTGTTTCTCTTTTGCAGAGAAGGGTACGAGAGGAAGGAGGGTGTTTTCACCTCATACTTCACCTATTTTGCAACAAAATTTGCCTCTACAAGTACACTGCAGGTTAGTTTGATTCACACGGAGACATGCATTCTCATACCCATGACAAAACCTACTTAGAAAGTATGTTTATGAAAGCCTTGTTTACCCTGCAAATGACAATTAAAATTACTTTGGGGAGTTTATAGGCAACAGAACACTGGAAATATTCCTAGAGCTTCAAGAGCAGCTGCCTGTAAGTAGAAGTAAATACACAGTTTATGCTTGTGTTTAAAGGACACATCCTGTGTATTCTGTTTCAAGTATATGAAAAATTACTTTTCAGTTATGTAGAATAGCTGTGATTGGCCAACCTTTTATCTGTAGCAGTCCAGCTAAAAAGCATCTAAAGTAGAGCCAGGTTACCTACAGACTACTCAGCAGCATTTTCAGTAGCTAGCAGTCAAGGAAAGAAAACGAGGTCTCTCTTCCAGGAGAGGGTTAGAAACACTTGTATTCATTTTCCTCCCAAAATTCTGAAACAGCTTTGTGCTTCCTCTAACACATCTCGTGTAAGCTATTTTTCTTTCATTATTTTTATGTCTCTCCATCTGCATTCAATCGTAGGGGTTCAGGAGTCTCAAAGATTGCCTGGCCACACAGTCTCACTTCTTCTACAGTTAAAAAAGTGCTGGTGAAGACAGTGTTTCCAAGCAGCAGGGCTCTGCTACCTATCACCTACGTTTCTTTACCAGTGGAATGAGAACACTCTCCACAGCTACCAGAGCAATTCCTGCAGCTCCATGAAATAAATCTTGCAGCAGAGAAGGTAAACAACACAAATTCCGTGCTTGCATAAACAGGATCAACCATGTCAGGGAACAATCATTTCCTAAGAACGTATATAGCAATAAGCTACCGTTCTCATTGTCTTACATCATCCACAAGGTACGTACATCTTTCAACATCAATACAAGGGGAGTATTTAGAAGTACCTCCCCTCTGAAGCAGTAAATTCTAATACCTAAAATGAGTTACACTGTAAGATTAGGCCGGCATATTTTTTTAAATAGAACATTTTGATAAATACAGTCTGCTTTAGTACTAACCTGGAAATGTAATTTTTGCACTTGACCTCTGCTGTAGTAACAGTTTATTTTCTGTATTGAATAAGAAAACACTGAAAGCTCGGTGCAGTAGACCTGAAAACAGAAAAACAAAACACGGAGAGCTGTTTAACAGAGGAGAGAAAAAACATACGGAGTTATTTCAAGAGCTTAGAACAGCCTCATTTTGGAGTAATCTAATTAAAAACTCACTTGTTAAAAACCAAGGATTTGATAAAAAACTTCAGAGTTATTATTTAGGGGCTTATGCAAACATTATGAAATTAGAGAAGTGTTAAGAACAACTGCAACAGAAGAGTTCTTCTAAACTTGGTCAGTTTGCCATTCTGAACACTCATGTTTGGGCAAGCTTTGAAGGAAGGTTCAGTAACCAAAAATTTATTATCAAAAAGAGATGACTCAAATTCCTAAGAAAACCTGTATGGAATTTTAAGACACTTCATGAATTGCAAAAGTACACTGGAAGATAGGCTCACTTAAGTGAAATTTTGCTTTTTTCTGCCCCTTTTGAGTTTGTTATTCATAGAATCACAGAATGGTTTGGGCTGGAAGGGACCTTGAAGCCCATCCAGTTCCAACCCCCTGCCATGGGCAGAGACACCTTCCACTAGACCAGACTGCTCAAAGCTCCATTCCTCACTCTTCAGGAAGATGTTTTCCCCGAGTACAAAAAAGGAGGTCACACACTACTATGGGAGATTCATGAATCTGACCAACCTCAAATAAAATCCACAATCAATTAGAATGACACCAACAAAAATCTTTTCTGTTAGCAGTACTTGAAACAGAACTCTGTGTGAAGAACTTAAAAATCAAAGCCTCTTCTACTTGAAAAGAACTCAGTGGCATTCTTTAGGAAAAGCTACATAGAATCAGGTATCCATAATAGCATAATAACAGGACAATAGGATTTTTATCACCAAAATGGGATTCAGAAGTATTTATAGAGATATGCAGCTTATACCCACAATGACACATTTCTCTCCTTTGCTACTGCCTGCCATTGTGTGTTTCTCCATACTGCAGTACTTATAAAATTAGATACTGCACGCTGGGGGAGGAGGGGGGGGTGTGAGGAAGCACTTGCTCTGGTTCGATCAACCTGTTAATGTAATCATGACTGGATTTCTGAAAACACTCATTCAACTTAACTGTTCAAGCAGAAGGCTCAATTAAGCCGTACCTTTATCAATGTTCTCATTCAAGTGGCAGTTTTTCTTGGTATCTGCTCCAATCTTATTATCATTTTCGTCAATCAGGATGCACATCTCTGCCAAGAGCTGCACCTGCTGCTCATCCAGGTGGTCTGTGCTTACCTCAGGCATTGTGATGGTGGCACACGTTCTACTGTAAATAAAAACAACAGAACGAAGAGTCACTCAGTACTAACAACATCCATAAGGTTCTGGACGAAGTAGGAGAAACAATCAAATGGCTAGGTTTTCTGACATTGTGCACCAACTGTATTTTGGGGGATCTACATGCTTTTAGATTGCTGAAACTTCCAGTTCACAATACCAATCACACATTTGACAGGTGCTTACAAGATCTTTTTCACTTCTCTGAAAGCCCTGCAGCAGCTGCTGCTGAATAGCTGTATCAAATATAACGCTTTGAGAGGGTGGTAGTGCAGGAAATCCAACTCCAAGCTTGATCCAGCACAGAGCTCACCTCGCCTAACCCCACAGCCTACGCACGTCCTGCACACTGACCCTGCGCTACATTTATAGTGCCACACGTCGTGCGCACAACCGGTTTCCCCCCATCAGTAAGAACTAAGCAACAAGGCTTCCCTGACCAGGCGCTCCAAAACACCCCCAAACCCTGCCCTCGCGGCCCCTGTCCACGCTGCAGCCAGCTCCCACCGCCCTCTGCCTCCGTTGTCCCCCCCCCGCCGGGCCCCGTCCCTCCGCAGCTGCCCCGCTCCTGCTCAGCCCAGCCCCGCCCCGTCCCTCAGCAGTCGCCTTCTCTCTCTCCCCCCACTGTCACCTCTGGGCCAGGGCCTTCCCCCCACGCAGGCCGGCTGCGGACGCGAGGGTCTGGTGTCGGCCGCACACCCGTCGGCGGCAGCTCCACGCTAGAGGCCCGGCAGCCCTGCGGTGGGCCACGGCCACGGCCACGGCTCCGGCCCGGCTCAGCACGCGCCACATGGCTCGCCACTCCGCTCCCGCCAATGGCGGCGCCCCACCACTACAACGTCACCGCATCGCACCATCGCCCCACCGCGGTGCAGCCTGCCCGGGAGGAGAGACTTAACAGTGACGGAAGGGCGCAGCCAACTGCAACACAGCCGGGTAGAGACACTGACCAATAGGAAGAGAGAATAGCGGCGAGCTAGCCAATGGGAGCGGGGAAGCCTAATCGGGCTGTGGCCAGCCGGGCGCAGCCATTTCCGTCAGGATGGGAGGAGGGTATGGGCTGTGGTGCCGAGCCGCGGTTCGGGGTGGACCTTCTGACACAGAGCCAAGGCTCAGTCGTGGCAGGGCTACGCCGTGCTGGGGCACGCCAAGGCGGATGGGGCGAGGATGGATGTAGGGCGGTACGGGCCAGATAGGTACCGCACTGCAGGAGAGTGGACCCCAGGCCTTCATCTGGGGGCAAGCCGCGCTGCAACAGCTTGTGAAGATGAAAAGAGCCTTTATCTTCTCCTGGCAGTGAGAGGTTTAAGAGTTTTTAACACTGAGCGCTGCCTACTGTCTTTATACCCGTGCAGGAAAACCTAAAGGCTGCACCACAGTGCCAGCTCCTACAAGTGTACCTTGCTTGTGGCAAACAGCTTCTGGATCGAATTTATACTCGGGTCTGGGAGCATTCTTTTAGGCAGGTACCCTAACCACAAGACTTGAGTCACAGGGCTTTTTCGCAGTTTCGGTAGCACATTTGGTTGTTTTTCTTTGCCCTGTGGCAGGGCCCATAGAATCAGAGGGTAAGTGTGTGCCGCACAGATCACAGCTTGTGGCACTCTTCAAGGTGGAACAGTGGTCTCCCTTCCTTTGCTGACAGCTACAGTTCATAGAAAAAAACCCTGTTAGCCAAGCTCTGAAATTGCCAAACTTGTTTTTAAGGGACAGAGAAAGAAACGCCCAGTTTCTAGATGGGAACCAAGCACAGGCAAGATGCCAAGGTGAGCCTCTCCAATATGTGTGTCTAGAAATGCATCAGGTGCCTGGTCTAAAGGCAGAGGAACATCAATATCTCTGTAGAAACTTCACACCACCATAATGGAGTATGTTTGGAGTAAGACTTCTTTTGCCAGTTTATTGCCTTCTGCAGATTTGGATTTATTGTTGGGAGTCCACAAAAGGCCTAGAAACGATGTCTCCCATGTTGTCTTGGGTGTATCACTCTTTCTGATTGCCTCCCAGTTCACATTCCAGCATTTTGGTCTGTCTTGAGTTTTCCTGTGAAAGGGACAGATGGCCTTTCATTTAGATACGGTTAGCAAAACAAAATGTTCAAACTGACAGTTAATGTCCTACAAATGGAGTTTCCCTCTGCAAAACTTGATAAATGGCAGGAGGTGGTTTGAGTGAAAGCCACCCGAAACCAGCAGGGAGCATCAGAAGTGAAAAAAAAACCCCAAACAACCAAAACCAACCAACATGCCAGCTGCTGTATATCCCTATAACTATAGAAAACATAAAACCATTAATGTTGTGTTATTCATTAACATATTACAAGTGTAATATTATCACAAGCACATTAGTAATAACTAACATGCACTCTCAGAAAGGGCTGAAATAGTTACTTTTTATCCTGAGTCAATATTGATCATGAAAACACAGTAAGTGGATATTGAGCTCTGTAGAACTACTGATAACATCCTTCACCATTATCGATCACTCACTACTTTTACTGATCCAGTGTAACCAAATGTAAGGGACACAAATCTACCCCAGATCTTTAAGCTACTGAGATGGAGATACAAACCAGCATTTCATATGAAGACAATAAAGTTAACAAGCCCTCCTGAGAGTGAAGCCCTGTTGGAATAGAAATTTCTACCCTAAAAGACAGAAATGGGGTCTGCACACGGGGCACAGGTGATGTATGACATACAGCGATGAGCAGATGTACACAGTGACATTCAGACTACACAGTGGAGTGATACCAGAAAAACATCCCCATAGGTAATGGGTTAAAGAAAAAAATAATCTTTTTCTTCTTCCTAGTAATAAGTATTGAGAACTTCTCTACAGGCACTTTAGAACCTTTCAGAAAAAAACTATAGCTCCTGTCTTGCACGGACAAAGCACTTCTCCTGGAGCAACACGATGAGCAACATGTCTGACATAAAGTGCTGGTGGTTAATGAGAGGTAGAAGAGCAGCCAAAAAAGATGAGAGAGACAAAATAACCCCTTTTCACAAAACAGACAAGGGAGAAATCACCCAAGCCTTTAACCAAAGGCACTTTCAGGATTATGTGCTTTGTCACCTGCATCATTGTTTCTCTCACTCCCCTCCAGACTTGCCCTGTTCCTTCAGTGAAGTTCTTTGTGTTGAAGATAAAGCAGCCTCATTTTTGTAATGGTATGCATTTCACTGAAACCTCAGAACTTTTACTTCACCCCACATAAACAGAGGCATGCCTGAAGTGACATATACATGCCTTTAAATCTTGATTTAATTTATGCATCCCCTGAACTCTGCCAACTGTTTCTAAACACCCTACTAACAAGGGAAAAGCAGTCTTAACCACCACTATAAAATCTCTCATTTCACCTGAAAATCCAGCCAGTTGCAAATCACTGACAGAATTTTGCTCTCTACTAAGGTAAAGAAAACATGACCCCCACCAAACTAGAGCTAAATGCTTTAATTATTCAGCAAATTAAATAAGACAGTAAAGCAGTATAAAATATATGCTGAAGAAACCAGGGGTTTGACCCCAGCCTACAACACACAGTCTCTTGAGACACATCTCTTCTCAGTTTTCAGCTTTGCTAAGCAAAATTAAGGACTTTCCCCCACTTTTCACAACCAACCCACCTCTTTTTTAAGCTTCCTCTTCACTTTTCCTGATATTAAAGACTTCTAGTTCATCCTTCCATCATCTATAGAGCTATACTTATTCCTGGTCTCTATGAAAAATTCTTCCTGGATGTCTGCTCCTGCCCTGAAGCCACAGCTCTTCAAGAAACATTTAAGTAATCCACTTACATGCAGAACAACAACAGCCTGGATGAGGAGGTGAATAGCTTTCTGTCCTAATGAATCAGCTGTTGTTCATTTGCTCCTTCTTTCTTAAAAGGCCTATTTCAGGAAAGCGGGTTGGCTTCAGCTCACTTCAGAGAAGATAGATGGCTTTGTAGTAAAAATGTAATGCATGTATGCTAAATCTATAAGTAGGATACTGCACTTGCATTTACTTTTGCTACCTTCAGCATGATGGAAAGTGATATGATGGATGACTTCCAAGTGTACAGCATAAAGCAATGATTAATGATACAGGAAATCACTCTTTTAGAATGGGGATGCTGGGATGTTTTCTGTATGGAAGAAGTAACTCTTGAGTCCTTTTCTTTCTTAGATAAGTTTTTCTTTTGTCTTTCTTTTGGTTTGAGCAGATAAGTTTTTCTTTTGATTTGAGCTCTGGGCAGGGTGCTTTGCCTTTTCATGTTTCTTTTACAGGTTTGTAAAATCTTAATTCTTTCAACTATTAGTCTGTTGCTGGTTTCCTAAGCCTTGTATCTTGTCATCTCAAGTGCAGCCACAGATGCAGAAGTAGGTCTGGAAGGTGATGTGCAGTAACTTTTGCCACTCAGTTTACTGAAATGCCTACTTAAAAAGCTTTTTAGCTGCTGATAAAAGGCAAACTAGTACTGCCCCAAGCTCCCTATGCTCCTGTGTGGCTATCTGTGCCTGTTGTTTTAAAACAAGTAGTTTGTGAAAAGAAAGTGCAGTCTTTTGTTTTGCACCTGCTTCTATACATCACACAGTGCCTATTGCTCTTGTAGTGCCATGGCAAAACCAAACCAGTAACAGGGCTCAAGTGGCAACAGGCCAGCCACTTGCTGTTCTTTCATTATGAAAAAGCAACTGCATCCATACAAGGCCTGTTAATTTTCAGGTCAGGGCCACCCTGCATCAAAGAAAAAGTTGTTTGTTGTTTAAGCCCCTGACTTTCCTCGATGCAGTATTTTCTGTTTCTTCAGGGAGAAAGAAAGGTTATGGTACAGTATGGTGGGGCAAAAAACCTGTTATTATACAGTAGAATTATATTAGGGTAAAGAAATTTTGGTAGGAATAATAAGGCTAAAAAAATGTTTAGTTAGGAACAGAACAGCTGGGGACTCAAGTTGTGACTTGGCTAAGATAACTGCAACTGTACCAGCTACAAAGAGAAAAGTGTCCCTCAGGTGTTGGTGTTGGGACTGATCCTGTTCAACATCTTTGTTGGTGACATGGACAGTAGGATTGAGTGTGCCATCACCCAGTTTGCTCGTGACACTAAACTGTGTGGTGTGTTTGGCGTGCTGGAGGGAAGGGATGCCATCCAGAGGGACCTTGACATGCTTGAGAGGTGGGCCAGTGCCAACCTCATGAAGTTCAACAAGGCCAAGTGAGAGCCACTCTGCATGAAGACCTCGGTAGACTGGAAGAGTGGGCAAACAAGAACCTTATGAAGTTCAAGGAGGACCTAGATAAAGCCCAGTCCTACAGCACAGGCTGGGATCTACCTTGTGGCTGGGGAGCAATTTTGTGGAAAGTGACCTGAGGGTCCTGGTGGACCACAAGCTCAATGTGAGTGAACAGTGTGCTGCTGTGGCAAAGAATTCCCCAATCTGGGTTACATCAATAAGGGAATCACCAACAGAGAGACAGTGGTCATCATCCCACTCTATTTGACACTTGTCAGGCCACAAACGGAATACTGTGTTCATTTTTTTTGTTTTGATTCCATTCTGTGAATTCAAAACATCAAACAGTAGCATTTGGTCAGGTTGTGTTCGGGCTTCCTCCCAGGCAAGTCTGTTCTGTTTCTTGCCTGTCTTCACTTGCCTGTCCTGTCTCCTCACTTTTCCTCTCCTACAGCCACTTATTCATTCTGCTCCCTTTTGATGGCTTTAAAGAAGGGGAATAGGCTAAAATGAGGGGAAGTTCTGAAGCAGTGAGGCTGGTTATCTTGTAGAATGACCTTCAGTGATGAAAAAGATGCTAGTAAATAGGTAAAGCGCTATTTTTGTTAGTCTTAAAACAGCTACAATTAAGACGTGACTGTACAGAATGAGGTAGAAAGGAAAAAGAAGACAAAAGAACAGCAGGCATACTTGTAGCTGGGAAGTACATGAAAAGAAAATGTATTATTTTCAGCCTTCACTCTGAAGCACATGTTCTGTCCTTTTCACAGACCTCTTCTGAGGCAGACAGATAATCTGCAGGGAGAGAAAAAATAATTAGGCAAAGGCCTCTTTTGACTTTCACAGTCTGTTACGAGGAATGAGAATTTTAGGTGAAGGCTTCTTCTAAGTATTAATCAGCAAAGGAATTAATCACATTTCAATAATGTGTTGTAAGCTTCAAAGTGAACAGCCTACTTGCAGAATGTAGTGGTTAGCTTTGATTCACTGTTTCTCGTACTGCCCGCAGATAAAGCAGAGTAAGTCCAGATTCGGCATGTTCCAGCCATTCTGTATTACAAAATAAGGGTTCCAGCAGTGTTCCAGGAAAGCTTCATCTCCCTTGACCGTCCACAGTGGTCCGCTTGGGCAATAGTTAGGATGAAATGCAACTCGGCTTTTTCAGTATCAGCATTAAATGAACGCCTCGGAGCTGAGGGGTTGGAAGGTAACCACTGAAGCAGGGGGAAGTGGCGGTGCCCCCATTCCCGCAGCCAGGCACGGCCCGCTGCTGTGCTGTCGGTCTGTTTCTGTGGAGGGTCCGTGTTCGTTGCCACACGTCAGGTCGAGTGCCCAGGTCCCCATCTATCAGGGCTTACGGAGCCTATCCCAAACCAAGCAAGCCGTCCCATGGGGGCCCGTGCCCTGGCCCGGTGCCACTTCCGAGCCCTCGTACGTAAGCCGCTCGCGGCCGCCGGGGGTGAGGGAGGTTCGGCCGGTGGCGGGGAGTGCTCTCCCGCTACCCACCCCGTCGCCATGGCGGCGAGCGGGGGCCGCGGGCCGCTTCCGCCCGTCGCCGGATGTCGCCCCGGGGGCTCCTCACCAGAGAGGCGCGTCGCGTCGCTGCTCCTCCCGCCACCACCCTCCTCCTCCTCCTTCCCCCCCCGCTGCCTGCAGCCCTTCCCCTTCCCGCCCGCCGCCCCGGCTGTGGCTGACAGGTGAGTGCGGGCGGCCTCGGCGCCCCCCTTTCCCCGCTCCCCTTTCCCCGCTCCCCTCAGCGGGGCGCAGACCCTCCGCCATCTTCCCGCCCAGCCAGGCCCCCCGCCGCCGCGGACAGTGGATCCCCAGCGGGGCTGCGGGCGCGGCCTGGCGCGGGAGGGCCGGGGGGGGGAAAGGGAGGGGTCGGGCTGCAGAGCTGGGCGGGACGCCCGGGAAGGGGTCTCGGGGGAAGCGGGGCAGCGGCGTGACCTGTGCGGTGCCGCCGCCTCGCCAGGCCTGTGCCGTCAAGCGGGGCTCCTGCCTTGGCACCCCCTCCCAGCCCGTCCTATTCCGGTTTATTTCGCATGAAATGACCTGCGGGTTCTCTCTTAGAACTCTAAATAACCGAAAATTAGCCCTTCTTACTGTTTTCCTGTCTTGTGTGTTTTTCTTTATTTGCTTGGGGTGTTTTTTAACCACTTCCAGCCCGAGGCTGTAGGGGTGGTTGCAGGTCTGCAGATAGTGAAATGAAACCAAGGGCTCCTGTTGAGGAGACTCTGGTCCCTAACTTTGTGTCCTACCGCGTATCCTAAGGACAAGCCAAGTGTAGTGGTACCTCATTGGCTTACACTAGTGCGTAACTAATGTGAGTTCAGATTCTCTGACATACGTACAAATGGAGTAAAAGTGAAACACCCATGTTCCTTGAAGTAGGGCACAACTGCCTGACAACATGAAGTTTGTGCTGGGACAGGGTAGATACGGCCTCCAGCAGCAGGAGCATGGCTCAGAACGCTCCAAGATGGGTAAAAGTTAAGTCTGTAAAAAGCCATTTGCAGTATTTAACTTCCTGAGCTAAAAATTGTGAAAACAAATCTGAAGGAGAGAATTAATGTCTGCTCTGGCTTTCAGAGATTGAGTGGATGTCAGGTTCCATTTGCAGAAGGAAATTAAATAAGTAGATTGTGCTTATGCAAAACAAGGAAAACTTTTTCAAGTTACGACTTGAACCGTTGTTCAGGGACACCTTGGTGTTTGCAAGGAAAGAGAAATTTCTGTGTGTCTTTATCCTTCTTGTTACATCTTTCAGCTTGTGAAAGTTTGTTTTGTTATGGTGTTTTAAAGTGTGCTTTCTATAACAGTATTTCATGGAAGATTTACGTAAAGAACTGGTGGAGCAGCTTCTTTGAAGTGATTCAGTGTCATTGAGTACACCTTGAAATTATACAAATGTCTGTTGTTCAGGCACCCATTTTGCAACGTAACAGCAGTATCATTCTCCTTAAGCAAATTTCTCAAACTGTTTTCCAACCGAGCCTGCTGCTGGCATTTCTTGTGTGATGTTTTTGAAAGGGAGCTGGTAACCTCAATCCTCAAGTATGTTTTGTAATGCGTGGTTTACATTAGATAGGATCTTGTGTGTGTGTGTGTGTGTGTGTGTGAACCCTAACCTGTCTTGTTGTAATAACTTTAAATGTAGCTTTGTGTGTTGTGGACTTGGGCAGTTATTTTAAGAGAAGGTGCCTGAACCCAACATAAGAATTTAAGGCAGAGAACACAGTAATGTTTTTTTGTGTGTGTGTTTTGTTGTATGTTTCTTTAATGCCTGTAGTTTATGTGTACATTTGTCCCTAAACTAGTCTGATCATGTTAAATCTAATTCTAAGATAAGACTGTCTCTCTAATGTAGACATGCTATTCCACTGCCTTTTAAATTTAGGACTTGTTTAAAGGATGCAGTCTCTTGTATGGACTGAAATGCTTGAGAGTGTTGGTACAGTCATGGGAGAAACATTGTGAGTGTGCTGATAGTGCCTTAAAAGAGCTTACTCCTACAAAAATCCAGAAATTGCAAGCCAGAACTAGTATATGTCAAGTAAGGAGAAGTTAAGTGGTATTGCATTTTATACGTTTGAAATGAGACTTTATGTCATGGCATTCTTGGGGCTAAGACTAGTAGCTTGTGTTGTAAGGCCGGGTGAGGGGTTTGTTCCAGAGACCACATCTTCAAACCTCTGGGGGGAGAGTTTATTAGTACCCTGTTCATGACCCCGGAGGAATGGACAGGAATCGTGATGGTGTCTTTAGACGCTGGGGTGATTTGTTATTTTCTCATCCTTGAGTAATATATACTGACTATTTTGAGACTGTCTTGGTGTTTGAAAATGGTAGGACTTGGTGCTTGCATTGCTATTACATGTGCTGTTGAAAGATTTGGTGGTTCTCTGTAGTAGGCCACATGAGGAAAAGCTTCAAGAATGTGCTGTATTTATTTGGTGCTTCAGAAAACCTTGCTGAATGTGTTATAGTTAGTGTCAAAGTTACTTGCTTTTGTTGATGTCTTAAGCAGTAAAATATTCTAATTTATTAGCAATTAATATACTCCCAGCAATGATATTAGAGGTCACTCTGCTTGCATAAAAGCATTATAAAAGTTTATCTAGTACATCGGTAATAACTACCTAAATAATGCCTGTTTAGAGAATAGCACAGTAAGATTCTGGCCTCTGAATGTGGTGCAGTGCTTCCTGAAACAAATACCTGGTTAAACCGCCTTTGCTCTTCAACTTCCTTAGGATTCCTCACCCTCAGGTCCTGCATTTGCATACCTGTGCATGCATGCAGACAATTCCTAGGCTATTAGGGATTTGCTAGTACAGGAATGGGAGGTAAAATATCTATGAAACAGCTAAGGAAATAGAGTAGCCTTCAAACATGTTTTAGAATTTAACCAGGTGTAAGTAATTTAGCAGGACCTGATGCTATCCACTGAACTCTCTAATAAGTTAACTAATCAACACCTATTAATAAAATAAGGTACGGTATATACTCATAGTATGTATCTGTCATAACTAACTAGTGTTAAATGTAAGCTTATACTGTACCCTGTACCATTTATGCTACTTGAAACAGTGAGCACAGTTAAATAATCCAAGTTTGATAATTATTGTTGTTTAATATTAGTTGAAATAAGTCAGTATGGTTGAGAGCATCATTTCTTGCCTTAGCAGACTGTTTTGTAGTCTAGGTCTGCACAGCTTTTTGTATCATTACAGAATTTGCTGACATAGTTGAACTAGCAAGATCAAAGCTTGCTAGCAGCAAAACTGGGCTGGCTTATGCCTGGATGTTGGTGTTAGAAGCTTGCTCAGAGTAGATCCTTACTAATGTGTTAAAGCTTTTATCATTGATTTCCAGCTGTATAACATACTTAAAATTAATTAGTGCAGCTTCTTTACTATGCTTTCTGTCAGGGGTAAGTTGTTGCCTTTTCAGTAGTGGATGCTTTCCCCTTTTATATTTTGAGGAACATCCAGTTCTGTTTGAAAGGATGCTGTGCTAAATTTAGAAAAAAAATCAATGTTGTAATGCTCAAGTGATTTCATAAGGTTGGAGAACCCTTATCAGTGGTTCTAGTGTCTTCTGTGATGATCTGGAATGTCTTTGTTTCCTAAATATTTATCTTTAGCAAAACAACTAGTCTTACAAAGAAGTTGGTTTGGCCTGATCTTTCTCAGGTGTGCTGTATTCTTACAGCTTGCATTGAATTAACGGTACTTGAATGTACAGCATCCTTGAAACAGATTGTTCACCAAAGACCTCAAAATAGAAGTTTTACTCCTTTAAGTCTGATTTCTTTGCATATGAATGAAGATTGTAGTGGTATATATTGATACTTAAATTCCTTTAACTCATGAGTAATGCTGTCAAACTGAGTTACATGTAATTAAGAACTTAATAGCTGTAATCATTCTCCTTTCTTTCCACTTTCCCTCCCTGCTTTTTGAAAAAAGAGCAAATCTCATGTTAACTGGCATCTTTTTATTGTAAGGTTTTAATGTTGCACAGGACAATAATTACTATTGTAAAAAGCGTTTATTTTTTATGTAGTATGCACTGAAATTTTGCTTGAAACACCTGAGACTTAGAGATTTAAGAATTGTTTCTGTGTTGTAGGTGGGTTTTATGCTTTTTTTTTTTTTGTCACAGTCATTTAAATAGTAAGTATTACTATTGCTAAACTCTGAACACAATGGAATAGGGAGAGCTTGGGTAAGAGATGTTGCTGAAACTTGCTGGTGCTTTCCCTTTACAGACTTGTGTGTTATCTTGACTGAACAAAAAAGGAAATGCGATACTGTAGACATTCTGTGCTCTGACACTTCTTAGAACAGATTTTCTCCCTGGCTTCAGCAGAATGCATACCCCAGAAATACTTTCCTTCAGCAGTTTACTTGTTCCATATTCAAGCATAGAAGAAGTAGGCAAGTAGAATTAGTTGACTGCTGCACTGGATTTTTAAGTCTAGTAAGATATGTGTGTGTGCACTTTTGGTGCCATTTCTCTGTTGTAGCTGGACAGAACAGTACTCGGTTACACATCTGCTCTTCACTGTTACTCTGTTGAAATAGTTCCTGTGACTGAATACATAGTAACATCTGCTACAGAAAGGTAGGTGGCAGAACTTTAATGTGCTGTAAAATATGCTGTGAGATTAATTAAACAGCATAACCAAAATACTGAAGTATCTTTGTATTCAGAAAGTAGTAGTCACCTGTGGTCTAGATATTTTCTAGGACATATTTTTTCCCCTACTTCTGCTGATTAATTTTGTCAGAAATTTGTTCTCTTGAGGCTTTGACAAATCATTGCATGAAAAACACTATGCAAACGTCTTGTTTTCAAGAGCAATTGAGCCAAAAAAATCAGTATGTCTCATAAGCACACTTTTTAATAATACAGTACTTGTGAACTGCCACCCTTAATGAATATAGCTTAGTAATACAAGACTCTGCCCCTTTTTCTGATTGGTTTTTTTCCCT